GTCGTTTTAAGGCTTCAGGGACCTTCAGGAGGCTTCCCTGAAGCCTCCAGAGCAGTCAAAACGACCCTCCAAGCAAACCGGGAGTCACCTCCGGTTTGCTCGGAGTGTCGTTTTAAGGCTTCAGGGACCTTCAGGAGGCTTCCCTGAAGCCTCCCGAGCAATTAAAACGACACTCCGAGCAAACCGGAGGTCTGTTCCTGAACCTCCGGTTTGCCCATAGGACTGTTTTTTTGCACTCCAGAGGCTTCAGGGAAGCTCATGAAGGAGGGCCTCCAGTGGGGCAGGGAAGGCTCTTTTCGCCCTCCCCAGGCTCCTATAAAGCCTCTGGAGCCTGGGGAGGGCGAAAAATGGCTTTAAAAATGTGTGAACTCGCGTGCCCTGACAAATGGCTCCGAGTGCCACCTGTGGCACACATGCCATAGGTTCACCATCCCGGGCCTAGGTCTACCACTTGCTACACAAGCACAAAAAATAGGATAGGAATTCTTGCCCTTTACATAAGGCTAAGTAATCTCAAGTAATGTGGGCCTGTGTAATGAAATAACATAAAATCAAATTTTTGAGATAGGCTTTTGAAAATATTTTCATAACAATACTTATATTTCATATATTAGAACATCTTTGTACTTTGTACTTATTTTAAAATTATATACTGTCCTAATTTATTTGAAACTTAGTAGGATAAATTGCACGATAATGTTACCTAGTTGGGTAATGAAACATCTGCAAGAAAACAACTAAGCTTAAACAGCACCAAGTATCCTACAATATGATACATTGTTATGTTTTTTTGTTTAGTCTTACTATAATTCAGTTTATGTGCCAAGTTGCTGCTAAAGGAATACATACCTTAACTATTTTTCTAAAGGTGGAAGAATGGAGTCCAAATGTAAAGAATCAATTCAGCCCAATAGATAGGCCTCAGCAAACATGGGTACCTTCAGAAGGGACTGTCCTGTAGATCTTAAGATATATGTACAGCTTTATAATGGGAGATATGGCCCTATCACATTATCAGGCTCCAAATCTTTTAGCCAATATATTAGCACCATGTTAAATTAAATTGTCCGGACAGTCAGTTGAAAGAGTTAAACATGGCTATCAAGTGAACTCATTGTTATGCATTTGTTACCAATAGCATTAGTTAGCAAACTAATAGCCATATTTTATCAATTTAGTTTCCAGGCACTTTGCAAAGTGAGCCTATGTAGAATGTACTGCGGTACAGGTAATCCTTACTTAATAACCATTTGTTCAGTGACTGTTCATATTTACAAGAGCACTGAATGAATGGTACTTATGACCAGATGTCAAAGTTGCAATCATTGCAACACCCTTCTGTTCATGTGATCAAAATTTGGGCACTTGGCAAGCCACCACATTTATGACTGTAGCATGTGCTTCAACTAAACCTCCCCCCCTCCCCATCTCCCTATTTCTCCTATCTGCCTTATTGGCTGCTTTGCACTCCACTGTCCCTACTGCCCTCATCACTTTACACCCCTCCTTGCACTCCTCTGTCTTGCACTCTGCTATCCCTGCAGCTCCCTGCTGCCCCCAAATGATCTTCATCATCATCTTCCTTGCAAGGCTACTGTGATACCTCACGGCTGGGCATACCTTGTTAGCAGCAAGAGAAAGAAGATGGCAAAGGTCAGCTAGGGTGTGGTGGTGGTGGTGGAGTCCTGGGCAGACAGAAAGGCCGAGATGGCAGGAATTAGAAGCTGAGGTGAGCATGGCAGGGCAAGCTTGCTGGGTCAGACCAAAGTGGAGGAGGCAGTGAGACAAAAGAAGCATGAGGCCTCAAGTAATTACTCCAGATTATCAGAACTATCATAGTTTAAGTGGTACAATCATATGATGTTAAATCTAACAACTGCTTCACTTAGCAACAGAAATTCTGGTCTGAATTTAGGACCAATGAGTAATGATTTCCTATGGTGAAATTGGAATATAAACAAGGAATGAAATATTTGTGGCCAAAACAATGTTGTGTCTATGAATTCTTAAATTACACATCTTATACTCCTGTATGCCTGTACCATAAATAGAAGATTTGCCTGTGACGTCTTGCAAACTTTTTCCAGATATATAGATATTTCCCAGGATTTGACTGGTTTTTCCTTGACCCTATTACATCAAGTGGAATAAAGTTTGCCAATGATGAGAAGTAAGTAAATAAAATATCTATTTACTCCCTCCTCCACCACTGCTGGTTGAGGTTTTCATTGGCAGGAAAAAAAAAACTTATTCTGAAAGGTTGACACAGAATTATTGTGCCATGGATGAACCCATTTCTGCTTTTCCAGGTCAGCTACCTTGGCCTCAGGAAAATGTACATTTTTCAGAAAAAGCCAGCAGTTCATTATAACAAAGAAAAAACATTCTGTCTAACAGAGATACAGCCTTTTGGATACTGTTTTTTTTGAAAAATTAAGATTTGTATTCTTTTATGCTATTTTATTTTTAATTGCAGTGTATTTTAATGTAACATTTTTTTCATGAATGTAATTGCACAAATGCAAATAATCTTCATTGGGAGACTTGCAAAACTAATTTTTTTAAATCCTCAAAGAAGTGAAATAAAATAATGTGCAGAAGCATAAAATTCTGTAATTCTGAATTTTCCAACAGTTAACCTTGAATAAAGTTATAGCTATTCATATTTTGTTCATATGTTTAAAATATACCTGATTAATTGCTTGGTGTGTGGTTTCTTTACAGTGTGAAGCACATTTCATGCTCTCTGCTTGTTCTTCATGCTGAAGATGATCCTGTGGTTCCATTTCATCTTGGAAAAAAGGTGCTGCTTCATTTTTTTAACTCTTGCCTCTGCCATAACTTTATAAATATCCTGAAAGAGCTAAAATAGTAAAAGGGTTTGAATGATTGCAATTTAATTTCTGTGGGGCAAATCACTGATAATGCATCAGACCTTGACTGCTGCTATAGGAAGAAATGCATTTTCAGAGAGTGTTGGTGGAGACAAATAATTCTGTCTTACTTGCCTTTTATATTGTCTAAAATTTGTTTTCATTCAAGTATCAGTTATTTAGAAAAGTATGGACCAGATCTGTGTATTCCACCTTGATAATCTTGATAATCCTTCTGCTCCTTATTCTAAGATCCAAACTTGTAGCGTTGTCTGTTATTGTATAATCCTGAAGCAATCTTTTTCTCTATTGTTCTTTCTATCTCTGCACAATAGCCTTCAGAGTTGCTGAGAATGAGATGGTATGGTGTAGGGCTGTCAAACTCGCGGGCTGGGTGCATCACATGCTGGCCACACCCATGCCTGCTTTAGTGAAGGGGGGAAAAAGCCCTGACATGTCATGTGGCGACGCGGGTTTGGCACCTCTGGTATAGTGTCTTCCACTGAGGGGTTATCAGAGAAGAATGTGAAATACAGTGTGACGTACATGGTTTTATATTCACCTGTAATCTGGAGCTGTTGCCATGACTTGGTTTTAGTCATCATTGTTGGAATTGGTGAAATGGGAGCTGACAGCTGTCCTGTGTCTAGAGAAAGAAACAGTTAAGTCTGTGTAATCTTTGTTTACACAGGATGAAAAGTCAAGAAAATGTAACAAGGGAAAAATTGAACTTTAGTTTGAACTCAGTTCCTGTTATATATATTAGACAATAATTTTCATCATTCCATGACTTTTGCCAGGATGGCTAGTATGTTTATCATATTTATAAAGCCACTGATCTTACAAATTTGTGGCACTGAGCAACATACACAGAAAAGATAATAAAGAAATAACAATTAAAAGTTGAACCATTAAAACATAATCAAAATATATTTTCATTATAACAGTGTATTAGTGCCATTTTGATTAATGCTAAGGAACCCTTTTTCTGTGATTTCAATTTTTGTTGGACTTCTTAGGTCCAAAGATTTGTACATTACAGCAAGTCTCCAGGTTAAGAAGACCCTGGTTTTAGGGTGACCCATAGTTAAGAATGGAGTCTATGGTAGCAAACTTAAAGCCAACTAAAAGTTAAATACACAATGGTTTAACTTAATTACACAATGCTGCTTTTACAGTACCGTATTTTCACGACCATAAGCCGCACTAAAAATCCTAAATTTTGATCCAAAATCGGC